AGTTTATGTTTATTTGAAATTTACCTTTCTAAGAGTTTTTTTATTAAAATGCATTAAGTATTTGTGGTGAGAATTGTACGAGCAAGTGGTGTGGTTTTACAAGCATTTTTTTGAGTATATTGAGGATATTGGTATTCTTAATGTAAGTAATGCATCACATAGATAAAGCTTGTAAAGTGTATTTTCGCTTTATTTTGTAAAAAGATATTGTTGATTGGGTTGCAATATGGAATCTATACAAGGTTTGTCCCTTTAGATGTGATAAATACTTTAGAGCATCCCATATCCTTATTAATTTATTCTAATGGATGGAATAAAAACTCAAGTAAGATTAAGACTTTGTTTTGTTAGGCATTCTAGCATTGCTTAAATTTTTTCTTTTTCTTCTAGAATAGTCCAACCTCCTTTACAAAAGATATTGAAGATTTGCTAAGAGAACTCATTTCTAGTATTGATGGAACAACTTTGAGATATATTAGTTTACTTCAATTTAAATTTTTTTTTAAGTCATTGTTTTTATAAAATGTCAATTTTGTAAAAGACCAAACATTGTATACATAAAGAAGGCTTGAATCAAAATGAATAATATCTCCTTCATTTAAATCTATTTATAGAGTGTGTAATGGTTAAAGTGCAAAGCCTAGATCTTGTAATATACATCAATATTGTAGTGTTAATTGCATCCTTGGCATTTTCAGTGTTGTTAGCAAAGGTTTGCACTGCTATAACAAATAAAGAAAGGCTCTACATTCCCAAATACCATGTAAATATAGTAAAAATATGGGAGGTTATAACATAGCAAGATTACTTGTAATTTGATAGGAAAGTAGCTATGCAACATAGTGTATAATGGCGTGAATTGGAAAAGTTTGCCCTCTTGATGTAAATATTCTAGAAGACACTTCAAAGTTTTAGCTGATGTTGCTAGCTTAATAGTAAATGTTTCATATGCTCTAACAACAATACTGGTCACTAAGTTCATTATCATTTTAATGTCTTAACACCTGCATTACTTTAACTGGTATAGGGAGCTAATGATCAACATAACAAAATTTGTGGAAGTGTAAGTCAATTTGCCAAAGCACTACACTAGTTCAAATTTCTACTTAAACACAACTTAAGTAGCCATCAAAACAATAGTTGAAGGATATACTTTTAGAGATATACTATTAATTAATGTGTGGGCTTTTATGTGCAAATCAAGATAGTTTACAAGTACTCAACCATCTGTAAAAGCTTAGAAATTTGGAAAGAGCTTAGCAACCATAATTGTAGTTTGCAACAAAGGGAATTCCCATCGTGCGACTATCATATATATTTATAATATGTAAAAACATTTTGTTTAGAGGCACTAGTTAGTGTATCAAAAGATTGCATAATAAAAAGGACAAAGTCTTTCAAGATGGTAATCTCCACTATTAGATTTGTAATATAGCTTTCTTTTTAATAAATGCTTGTGGTAGTGCACATAATGAGTTTTTACTTATTGATCCATTTGCTATTACACCAACACAATAGCCCCTATATATGGCACACCATTCCCCACTTGTGGCACAGTAGTCCTTGGCTTTGAAGGGTAATGTATTTCAACTAAAGGACAATAAAAGTGAAAATGAAGAGGATGAGGAAGTGGAATTTGATAAAGAAAAGAAACTGCTTGGGTAGGACCATAAGCTATCACTATCATTTGAAATACCTATTGGAATTATTGCAAATAATATACTTTGAGACTACATGAGGCACTAATTCTTTTACATATCTTTTTAAAATGACTCATAGTTGTGAAGGATAATTTCTTAATTGTGAGAAAATCACATAATCCCACCACCACCACCTTTCAATCTAGAAACTAACCAAAACCCATTACCTCTAATAAAGTTATTGGATGATCACACTATTTTTGAGTAAGTCTGAAAATTTAGCTTTATAGTATTTTAGTAAGTATTAGTTTTTTCTATTTATATTTTTAGTCTTGTTGGGAAGCAAACCTGTTAGATAGATGTTGTTAATGTATATAATAAAGCAACCCACTTGGCAAATGATAATAACATATAATTCAAGCTACTCCAACATAAAGAGATAGAAACTATATTAAAGGCAACAACAATGCTCAAGTGCAATAATGACTATATGCCACAAATTGAATGGCTCAAATACAAGATCCTTGGTTGTTTTGGAGTTCGGGACATGACAAATAAGGATCATTTAGAGGTTATTGAAGAGCATGAAGAGTTCAAATGGCTGGGTGGATAGGTGTTTCTTTGGCATATCTTGAATTTTCATATGATGCGTTATTATCAAGATTTGGAAGTTATCTTAAGTAGAGTTCCAATTACTGAAATAGGGTAAGAGAAAATATTTTGTAATAGGAGCATATATGAGCTTCTTTAAGGGAGTTTGCAAAATATGGCTATCTTGATCTTGCAAGAAGTAGTGGTTTAATTTAATGACAGAAGGTAAGTTATGTCTAAACATTTGATTTATAGTTTATAAAGTTTTTTCTTTCTTTTAGGACTTTACATCACAACAAGAATCTTGTAGACAATTTGAAGGCATTTTTTGAATAAGTATTGCCAGTACTCTAGAACATCCATTGATAAGGCAATGCTTCATCATATTGTGAAGCCCGAAGATAGTTGATAGATTTTCGAGTGATGGTATGTTTGTTTACACAATTTACGTCAATCTTACAAATATTTAATATAGTGGTTTTGTATAGCAAATAGTTTGAACAATAAATTAACCTGTTTCCAAGCTTTATTTAACCCAGGGCTTCGAACACCAAATTTCAATATGGTCTATAATAGGGTAATTGAAGGAGCCTTGATCTGGGAGACAACTATAATTGATAGGGGTGGTCCACATGAAAATGCAATCAAGTAAGCCATTTTTCAGATTCCTTGAAATATAAACTCTAATAGTATCAATCTTTAACAATTCTTTTATGATTTATTTTCTCTAGTTCAAAGGATTATTTATAAAGGGTGAGAGGGCTTATATTGGCACCCATAGAAGTCAGCACAACTAAGAAACCTACGTTAAAGAAAGAAGAACATAGTAAGTATTGTATATGTTTTTAGATTGCATCTTCACTAAAGTTGTTTTTCTTTCCTTAGGCCTAGATAGCTTTTATTTTTAGTATTTGAGAACAATTCTTAAGTATTAAAAGGTTTTACAATTGCCACCTTGCAATTGCCACTAGAGAGGTTTAAATCTAGATGATCATAGACTCAATTGAGAAAAAGTTTACAAGCAAGACTTGAAGTTTTATACACTAGAGATATGGAATATATTAGATATACTACATAAAATAGCAGCTTGCACAAACCTAGATGACCAATGCAAAGCTATGGATTACACGTTGGAGAATAAAAATGTTATTGCATATTTAAATGCATTTATATTTGCAAGATTGGTGAATTTTAGCATTGACTATGAAGAAAGTCATTGAGTTTTATGTGACAATAATCGTTTGGAAAGTTTTTTTCGATGACCCAAGTGCAGTGGGGGATTAGCTATGAGTTGAATTCTACCACTCCATGGTCATAGAAGCTATGCAACAACCATATATAAGTGGCATTTTACTTGGTGTTCCAAGTGCAAATAGTAATTAACATAAAAAAACTCCTCAACTACTTAGTTTTTGGACCAAATTTTTTGTGACAACCAAAAGTAATGGATTGAGGAGGTAATTAAAGGTAAGTACAATGTTTGTTTTGTCTTGTTCATCAACTCTGATTATATGCAATAGCAGAGATGAGTTTCAAATGGTTGTCACTACTCCACAATTTTGTGGTAGACTCACTAAAATTCCGTTTAAGATCACCAATTTATATTAATTGTGACACCTCCAATATAGATTCAACCTCCTACCCAACTTTGTTAACATGCACTCACTCTATTACTTTTCTATAAAGGTACCCAATGAAGAAGTGGTTTAAAAAGAAGTTTAAATTTACTATTTAAAACCCTTTGTGCTATGGGAATGTTTAAGAACTTTTGAGAGCATATGATTTTGTCCTTATTAGACACTTTTCAACTGTGTTATCCCCAGAACTTAAATGAAAATAAAAGTAGATATATCTTCCACTATTAGAAATAAACTAGATGAAAATTATAGAATATTTGTAATATTTGACAAATGCTCATTACAAGTTTTTATCACCATGCTCCCTAACCTTGGAATTAATAGTTGTGTTTGCCAAAGATGAAGTTATAGAATGCATAGTTGAAGATCAAACTAGATTGTGGGGATTATCTTGATTAGAGATATCATCTCTAAAGTCTTCTTTAATTGTCTAGTACCCTTCTTCAACTATGATGTACCCATTGTCGTTATTTATATCACTTGTTATGTTTCTATTGTTGTACGAGGAATTATAGGGACTATGAGAAATGGCTTTGGTGACATACTATCCTATCTTGATCTACAATCACTATAACTTGTTAATGGTATGTAGCATGTGGGCAAAAATGAGTGCTTGCCTTTTGGAAGTTCTAAAACCTGTGCCTAAACCAAATTTAAGCCTCATAAGCATTCCAAAAGCTTCTTTATTTTGGTTGTTCAAAAGGAAAATCATGAACTTTAGTCATAAACACACAATTAACTATGTAAATATATATTCAAAACATGAATCTTACCAAAGTTTCTACAATCCACTAATCTTTGAATAGGCTAATTCTTCTTCTACACAATACAAAGGGTAATTCTACCCATTATCAAAACATAACACTACAAACACAAAATAATCTATTCAAAAGAGGTTAACCTATAAATACTTCAATTTAGATATTTGGGAGATTCAATTGTCTTCTCATCCGAAGCAATAACAGAGAAGCCTTGAATGCATGTGATGGATGTATGTATGACACATAGGATATAGGGGATGGGGCCATTCAGATGGTCATAATGGCCATCCCAGAAATTCATGAGAAAATTTCAGTTGGGCAAAGGTATATTCAAGAGATATTTTTACTGCACAAGTACAATATGGGGGATTTACAAATAGCACGCCATAGATTGTAATTTTACATATATCTAGTAGAACATAATTTATTTCTGGTTTTTGTAATTTAAATTGCATAATGCTATCTGCGAGCCACGGACGTTTTGCCGCTGGAAACGGTCCCCGAGACGGGGCTACCGGAGCTCCGCGAGCTGTCCGAGCTCTTGGACGTGGTCTCCGAGTTGCCCAGCTTGGTGCTAAAGAACTTGGTCAGCATCTTCCTGGAGCCCGAGAAGAGCCGCTTGGACGACGACTTGGCGGTGCTGTTGTTGCTCCCCTGCTTTATCACGTCCACTTCGATCTGCGACCGCTCCCTCTCGGCCTCGGCAATCCGCTGCTTCATGTTGGCCAGATCTCCCTTGAGCGCCTTGAAGTCGTGGTGGACGGCGTCCCAGTTGTCGTCGGTGGTGCTCGACGATTGCATCGCCTCCACGATGCTGTCGTCCTGTGCCGGTAGCAGCGCCTTAATGTTGTTTGGGATGTCGTTGAGAATGAGGCCCCCGGACACGGCCGCGCGGACTTGCTCGAAGAAGAGCACCTGGACGACCACGCGGAGTGGCAAGCGGTCGTTTTGTGCCGCGTGCATGCAAGCCTCCATCGATAGCTTCTTGCAGTCCATCATTCTGCACAGCTTTTTCTTCTCGCTTTTGCCGGTGCTTGGATGCTCCTGTAGTATAAACAAGAGTGCTTTGCTTAGAAAATGAGAACGAGCTTAGAAAATGTAGAAAAAAAAATACCACCATACCTTGAGATAGATGTCGATGGCTCTGTAGATCCCGTCGTGCACGGGCCGAGCAAAATCCGGAATGGCCTCCGCGAGCGCCATAAACTTTGACAGCGGCAAGTTTGCGTCGCGGGCAACCTCCGCTAAGTAACCGTCCAAGAGTTTCGCAACTCGCAACTTTGCGCTGTGAGTTGCCGATGTTGACCTCCTACTTTCCGCAAAGTCCAGGTTCTCTGCTGATCTCGTCCTCCTCCGCTCGTGAGCTATCCGAGCCCGGCTCGGGCTCATCGGCGGGCTCTGGTCTTGCATGAGAAAGTTCTCCACAATCCGCTGCACGAGATCCACATCGTACAGCGATCCGCTCGAATACGAGACCGATGGTATAAGCAGATCGCTGACGGATGCCTCCTCGAGTTGGAGCCCGACTCTCCTGGCCAGCTCGTTCTTCGCGGAACTCGCAGCACCATACATAGTCGCAGCCTTTAGAAGCTTGAGGAGAAAGCTGCACGACGTGCACGCCTTCTCGGGTGGAAGCAGGCTGACGATAGTCTCCAAAAGTAGCCTGTGCTTTGCCGTTGTCTCCGCAAAGTCATCGCTTGTGTTGGCAATGCCGCCGCCTCCTAAGTTGTTGGAGCTCTCGATGAGATTCTGCTCCTTGGAAAGCCCCGGCAACCAGCGGTAGGCATAAATCCGGACAGCCTCTCCGATGAGCTCGTGTGACATCCGTCCCTTTGCCTTGATGGCCAGCATAACTCTCCAGAAGAAGTCGATCTCCAGCTCGCACACATCCTCGACCCACCAATCCTTCGGAACCGGCTGGAGCCTCCGGCTGTGCGATGAGTTCCATGCCGAGCCGGATGCGGGCGTTTGATCGGCTGGAGTTATCCTCGTGTAGGTGTAAGACCAATCCACCTTGGACGGATCCACGGACGTCTTTGAGGAGATTGAGTCGATGCATCTGCTGACAATCTTCAAGTCCTCGGACCACGGCAGCAATCCTTTCGTGCTCTTGAGTGCGATGATGGAGTCTTTCCAGCTGCGAAAGATGCTGGAGTTGAGGAAAACTTCAAGCTTGAATATCATGTTCCCCTTTTCGATGCTTTCGGACATGTCGAGGTACTCGGCCGCACATCGGACTGCCACCACATTGTAGGCATTGAGTGTAATTGTGATACCGTAGCAGAACTTGGCACACAGCTCGAAGATTTCAGCTCCGCCAGGGAAATCCGGCAGCGGGATTTCCTCGCTCGAACTGTCACGGGCCTCTGCCACAAGCTTGTGCAAGCGACCGCTCTTTGATAGAAGAGGGAACTACAAAACATAAGATCGGAAAAAAACCATTCTTTTAGCAGCCACGAGAAGAATCGGCCCGAGCATACCTTATGGAGAAGTAACCTCGCTCCATTGACTTCCACCGAGACATCGCTGGTCAGGTCTGACACAACAATCCTGCTCACACAAAAGAACGAGATTGGTTTCTTCCAGGAGATTGAGCGTCAAAAAAAAGGCAAAAAAAAGAAGGATAAAACGGAGCAAGACTTACGTGACACTGCCATGACTTTGGAAAATGTCCGGCTTTGATCCAAGTTTCATGTACTTCATCGCTGCTGCTGCTGGCCGCTGCTCGCTCTTTGTGCTTTGTGACAGAGCGGGGCTCCCACTCCCGGAGAAAAATTCAAGGCAGCGGGATCTCTTTCGGTGCGAAAGAAAAAGAGTGTGTGCCGACGAGGCAGCGGTTGTTGGAGGAGCTCACGGGCAATGCCGGCTATTTACGCTGCCCTCTCTCCTCCTCTCCACTTGATATATATATGCGTGACCCCTCCAATTCACCAAAGTCCCCTGCATACTGGCGAGAGATGGCGACTTAAATCCCCCCCTCACGACTATGTTCCACACAGTGCCGCCGCGAAGCACGAGAATCTCAAACTTTGCGGCATCTTTCCCCGTCAGATCTGTGAAGTTGTCTGTAAAAGTTGACTGGAGATGTAGCGGGGACAAACTTCCTTGAAGCCCAATCCTCCTCCCAAGTTGGAACTTGGAGCTCACAAAGCTTGGAACTTTGGAGCCAAGAAGAAGAAGCTTTGAAAAAGCTTTTCGTCCTGCGAGAAGAGGATGAGGAGGAGGAGGAGGAGGAGGAGGTCGCTGTCGCTGGAAGAGAATGCCGCTGCTATAGCTCGAGGATGGATTTTTTTTGCGTCTGGGCTGGCTGCCTCTTCTATAACACTCCAACAAAAGTGGCTTGTACTTGTAAAAGACGACCCAACGTTGCTGTGGCTAGGATCATTCCTCCTGTGTGTATTAGCATTCCACTCACGAAAAAAAAAGATTCCCCTCGTCCCAGCTTTTCCAATTCTCACGACCCCACCCCCACTGCCGAGACAAATCGATCCCCAAAAGAAAATCGCCAATACCTCCTCTGTGACAGTGTTGTGTGTTGGCCTAATATCTTTTCTTTTCTCTCTCCCTGCCTTGTTCTTGTTCTTCCTCCTCTCTTCCCTTTAGCTTTAGCCCCTTTTGTCCTCGGTCGGGAAATCCCTGTGCCAATCCCTCGCGCTGGAGCTCCACAAAGAGCCAACGCGCGCACTAGAGCGCGCTAGGAATCCAGTCTCGGACGAGAAAACCCTAGCCTAGGGGAGTGATCGATTCCCAGGCCGCCGCGAGCGCGCTAGCATCTAGGCGCGCTAGCTGCTAGGCGCGGAGATTACCAGCACAATGCCGGGATTGGCCGCGATGCTGCGATGTGACACAAGAACCAATGCGTGCTCCCCCGCTGCGATCAGCCGGCGGGGCCCTTGCCGCCGCTCCGGAGCTTCGATCCGCGCTGCAAAACCTAGAATTCCCTTTCGCGGCCCATCCTGTGTGGCGTGGCTTGGGCTTGTCAAGCATGTTTGCTTCCTCCTGGGAACAACGAATGAAGAACTGGTTTTTACGGCCTCGTAATTGTAAATTCCAATTTCCATCCCCTCCGTTTAAAGCAAAAAATTCTTGGCGCCTCACGTGTCCTGCTATTGCTTTTACCCCCTCGCGGTGGAAAAAAAAAACAGGTAACAGCTTTACTTACCACGCCGTTAAAAGTTTAAAGTGTGTGCACGTTACACACCAAAGAAGTTGACGGGCCGGGCCGGCAGGAAAAAAGATTCACCACGCGTGGTAAGTTGCGCACGCGAAAGCTGCGCCGTCGGATTCATTCAGGCATTTGGTAGATTTCTGACACCTGGCCGGCAATGCTGGACACCTGGCAGCCCCTTAGTACGGGAATGTTTTGGCTAGAGGCGTACGGAGGTGGAAGTATATAGTGGTGGTGGGTGGTGCATTGTGCCAAAACAAAAGCTTGCCATGCCATCTAATTCAAAAGGCAAAACAAGGGCCATGTGCTCCCACCATGTACTTGAGCCGCAAAATCTTAACAGGCCAAGTTGATATTGACATTCCAGCCGCAAAGAAATAGATAATCTGGAGTTGCTGGGCAAAATGCCCAGTGAGGGCATCTTGCGTGTAGTGGGAAATGTTTGGGTCTTTCTACCAACCAGGCGTATAGCAACAGGTTCCGAGCATGATGGGCAAGTGAGTGAGTGCCGTGGATGGTCCGTAGTGTCGGAGGAAGCTCTCGAGAAGAGATATTTTATCCGCCAAAGTGGTGCGCGGTTGCTCGATGATGGCTTGCTTGAACATGTCCATTGTCCTAAACCCTAAAACAAAAAGGTGGTGGAGGGCCGCTTTGGCGCTACTTTGGTGTTGTTAGTGGCTGATTGCTTAATAAATTTGGCCCGGCCGCTACAACTGCAAATGCCTACAAGCAGGAGGAACAAAAGATGCCAATTGGGTTTTGCATCCCACTAGGGACGCATGGATTTTAAAGCAGGGGAAGTCCCTACCCCACACTCGAATAAGTGCAGTGAATTGGTTTCTTTTTTTTAAAAAAAAAAAGGAGAGAAAGGCCCTTTTTTCCTTTAAAAGCTCACTGTTCCGATCGAACACCTAACGACAATCGCCAGTGAGATCAAACACAAGCAAGAGCTGCAAAGCTGCCTGTGGCTATAGCTATGGTAAATACATTGCCTAACGCTGGAAATATCTCCCACACACACCTCGTTTCCCTCGCAGAAATCTTGCAAATCCCCAATCTCCATCTCAGTCCTTGTTTGTTCTTGTTTGTTGCTCAACACAAAAAAGGAGTGTCGTGGAGATTATAGCAAGAGATATTTTTTTATGCCCCCCGGCAATCATGAGTTGGAGACCTCAATGGAGACGGCACTGGGCGAGATTTTTGCTTTTGTGTTTGTGTGTGTGATTTGATTTGGTGACAAACCAACCCATGGTTTAAACCACGGGAAAAATCTACGCGGGGGTTTGTTTCTTGGTCGAGGATGGCGACACGGTACCGGCGCTAGCCGGTGAGCCGCCGACCGGAATGCGACCCGCCAGCCACGTCAGCGCGCTGTCGGCCGTAGGTCGCGCGTGCAAGTACGGACTGTCGGGTGGGCCTATGGCGGGCCAATGGATGCCGTTGATTCGGTAGCGCTTCCCGTCCCACGTCACACTGACGCCGAGTTGGCTCCCCTTCCGTACAAACTCAAGCTTTGCTGGCTATGGGCTTCTCTAGCTTTGGAGAGATCTTCCAGAAATCTGTCCTCTCCCATGGCGATCACGACACATTCGCTGGAGATTTGTATTGGTTTGATCGATTGAGAACCATCCAGAAACTCTGAGAAAACTACATGTAACCAGCCAGTAGAAAAGAGAAAGTCCCGCCGAGAGAACGCTCGGCACTCGCGAGATAGAGAAGAGAGAGAAAGATCTGTGTTAGTAGCAACTAGCTGTGAGTGTGTACACACTGAGAAGAGTGAGAAGAGTCATATAAGATGAAAGCTACCTAAGCTTCGCTCCCTTGTTTGTCCTAGCACAGTCGTGTGTGTGTGGATTATAACTTACATTGGTGCAAAGCTGTGGACCACTTCCCATGAATGCGTTTGACACAGCGTTGTCCCAAAAGGGGGCATTCAACCGAGCCAGACAGGCGCTCAATCAACTATGCTACAAACGAGTGTGGGCGTTTTCCTTTCGTTCTTTCTTTTTCCTTGGTTGCAATCGATCGTAGGACCACTATCACCCAACAATACTGCAGACAGCAACCAGCAGCGCAAAGGACCACAATGTTTATGTTGGTTTGCCTCTTTGTGCTCACAAGTGGGACCTTAAACCTCGTGTTCCGTACGTCAGATGAGATGTGGAGCAACAACAAAAGCCAAGCTTGGATTTGGGATTTGGGATTTGAGATTTTTGGTGGTGGAGATGGTGGTGCTTGCGCTTTGCATTTGCTCGCCTGCTAGCTTTCAATCCCAAGTGGGGAGACGATATATGCTCCAATAAATCAGAGGTGGGAGAAAGGAGAAGCAAGAGGACCATTGTTTTTAAATCGGTGATATAGGCGTCTTTGGCCTGTTTCTTTGTACTCCCCGCGGTACAAACTCTTCGAACATGGAATCTTTTTTCTTACTATAATAAGGGACTCCGTTTTGCAAAGGTTGATAACTTGATGCAAACACCCAGCGTACGGACGTGCAGAATCATTGATTTTCACACTTGGAAGCTACTCCAAAGCGGTGGAAAGGAATCGCGGAATGATTTTTCCATTCTTTTCGCGCGGGAATGAGAATAAAATCAATGATTTTCTTTATCCTTGGGTAGAGAAATTTCTCAAAATGGGTGATTTTCTTACTTTTCCAGGAGCGGATATAGTTATATAACTCTTGTTCTTCCTCGAGGAGGAATTTTGTGGACGGTCGAATAAATGGGCCGTGTAAATGTGATTCTTATCTAGAAGAGCATAAATTCCATATAGTTTTTTAATCCACATATCCTGAAATCTTTCAGCAGAATGACAAGACAAGGTAGTGTGTGTTGTAGATGCAGTGGTCGTGTCCTCTGCTGAAGAAGCAAGGACCTCTCAATTTCAAGGGTCAGGTCAGTCCATCGCTGCTCCTTGGCTAGCGCGCAAATGAGGAAGAAGAAGAAGAAGATGAAAAAGAATAAGTTCTGTGTGTGACCCCAGAGTCGACTAATATTCTGATCTTCTGGTGTGGAGGAACCTTTGCAGCTTTTCTACTTATTTTTATATATATTTCTCATCAAATTTCCTGTGATATTGGTCGATCCCGGTCAGTCAATACTTGCAGGCAAATGCGAAATAATAATCACCGTTGTATTATTACCAGCGCAATAATAATTAGGAACAATTCTGTATATGTGTGGATGAGGAATGAAAGAGGAAAGATTTAAAGATGGTATGGATGGAGGTTGAGAACATGATGCATTTTGAGTATTTATTTGTTAGAAGTTGGCAAAAGGTGACAGAGGTCCAACATTGGGACAAACGCAAGAAACAAGCAGAGATTCGGATGGATCCTCCTTTGAGACAAACGTGAGAGGGCGCAACAGTTTCTCTTCCACATTGTGCCGCAAAATAGACAAGTCGATGCAAGTTTAGGTCGGCCAGGCACGTAGAAAAGTTCAAAGATCTGGGTGATATCATGGACTTTGCGGTGCAGAAATCTCGTGACCCTCGGTATCAGCATCGCGATCCAAATCCAAGCTCAAATGTTTCTTTTTTCTTCCTCCAAACATCTGTTGGCGTGGATCCATCGGAATCCAGTGGACTGAATCCAAAATCAACGCCTAAAGCAACTGTGTGTGATTTTTAAAGTCTCTCTCCCTCCAGAGTTTGCTTGTGGAGCTGTCAAGCGTGTCGGGGAGATCTAGTTTTTATTATGCTCCCCAAACTTGTTTGATAAAATGTGCGATGAATCCATCGGTCTCTTGGTCGACCAGAGATCTAGAGGGATATGGTTGGGGCATCAACATCGGAGAGACGGCAGTATAACAAAGAAAAAAACTCTAAAAAGTCCAAACCCAACTTTCCTTCTTGTTTGACAAAGATGACAAGACGAAAACAACTGAACAGATAAATGTGTTTGGTCGCGGAATAAAGCATATTCCAGGCAAGAAATTATTTTCTGTTAAGCAAGGAATAAAGCATATTCTAGGCACACTTTTTTCTCAAACACGGAAAAGAGATAGAACCTCTTTTCCTTTGAACTTCATTTCTTTCGCAGCATTGGTAATTTCCTTAAACACTAAACGTCTGAATGCTGCAGGGTGATCTTCATCGACCAGATCCGATAATGGCTCAATTGTTGCATCGACCTTTGGAAACACAAAAGTAGCAACGGACAATCGAGCTTTCTCCTTGTTTAGCACGGCTCGATGCTGGAGGCTAGGAAGAAAATCGTTGCTTAACACCTGGAAGAAATACCAAAACAGCCTCTAATAATTTATAAAAAAACAAGACTATACCTGCAAGCAATCCCCAACGTTGATGACAAAAGACCCATGCAGTGGCTTACAAGCGATCCATTTGGAGTCTTTGAGGATCTGGAGCCCTCCAACTTCGTCCTGAAGGAGGATGGTGATGATATCGGGGTCTGTGTGGGAGCCAGCGCCAAGAACAAGGCCAGGCTCTTCGCAAGGAGGATACCAATTGAAGCGAACGAAAGTTCTCTTCAGTCGCTCCCAGTGGCGTGTGAAATCCCCGCTAGTGACTCCCAGAGCCTCCTCCAGCAGCTGGAGGATCTCCAGAGCGAGCTCCTCCATAGCCATCGAGAACTTGTAATGCATCTCCCTGCACAAAGTTTTAGATCAACTTAGAAACAAAGAACATACTTGATTTCCTCGCTGGAAGGCCACAACTTCTCGGCAGCGATCTTGAAATCGCTGGGGTCGGCCCAGGAGTGGAACGATTCCTGCCAGGATTTGTTCCGTTTGACGACGCCGCAATGGTATCCGGCAGGACTTCCGGACGAGTCATCCACCAGGGATTTAAGCTTGGTCTCGAGATCCATGTCGAAGATACCGCGAGCCCATGCAACCGTATCATCGACGAGCTTCTCATCCACGCCGTGAGCCACCACT